GAGCAATCTCTCCTTTAACGTTATGTAATACAGTATATTGAAACTGCTGATGTCACAAAATGTAATTCTGGTATTTTTGAGTATGTTACTTGTTTTGATTTCATTGCAGAAAGTTGCAGTCAAAATCAATTTCAGTCGATATGCAGTTTAGCCATAATATTTGGTTCAGATTTCTATTACTCATTTTGACATTTAATTTACATTTTCACATTTAAATTACTGTAAATTTAAATTAATTTACATTTATATTATACAGTATCACTCAACAAATTATGCAGCAAATTATGGCCCTTATTAATTTTTAAATTTTTATACATAACAACATGAAAACATTGTAATCACAGAAATAAATAAAAGATTCAAGACAACAAAATTTCAAGTTTTGGGTCCCTACAACACAAATTCACCGTCTTCATTTAGTGTCTGTAACTGGGTATGAGTAAATCATGTAGAACTAACTGCAGTAATTGTAGTAAAAGAAACCTATAAAAATTCACATTGCAGTCTTCTTGAATTGTGGCATTGTGTAATCTTGTAGGTGGTTACCAACATTTTTGAGGAATGTTCAAGGTAGAAATGCATACCATGAAGAAGGAAGCAGTATATGCCTCCAAAAGTTGATCTCCTACAAGACTACACAATGTCACAATTCATAAAGATTATACTATCACTTCACTACCATAAAAACCTCAAGTCTCAAATAACTAATGAAATATTGCAGTCAGAAGAAACGTGCAACAAATACTTTTCATATTTCTCATGTTCGACGCTCTGCGTAAATGTTCATCATCGGACTATGAAATTAAACTCCGTCCAGGTTATTTCTGACAGTCTGAGCACTGTACGGACAGCATATTCTAACTCGGCACAAATTATGTTCATTTACTATATATTTATATACTTAGAAGTTTATGTATACATGGAAATAAGCTATTATCTGTTGACAGTTTAATTGGCAGTGGTATGGTAACGTTCTCAACAACAACAAAACAGACATATAAGTTGTGATCTTAGGCCTATGGGGGAATGTACAAACTGGTAAAGGCAGTGAAATGTTTATAATTTTCTTCCTACTTGATATCATTTAACTTCGTAATTACCCTGATAAACTTGAGAAGCAAAAGAGCCATAACTGATTGATTTATTAAGCCATGAGTTTAATGAGGAACGCTATACAAGTACTGTGCAAGAAATCCTCTATTACGTCGTCGCCTTAATTAATTCTCCTTAAATATTAAACCTTTTCCATGTTCAGTCCTTTCTCCATTTATGTTTTTCTTTTGGTTAAAAATTGTTGAAGATGTGCCACTTACGGTGTTTTAGCTCTAACTTTGCGTCTGTGCAATATTTAACAGGCAGCATCAACGCCATGGATGGTTGCTCGCATGGCATTGGAGATAATGTCCCTTAAAATGTCAACAAAGCATTAGATACAACCATGTAAACATTCTAGATAAATTAATATCCATAATTCTCAATTACATTTTGAGTTGTGATGCTGTATGGGCTTATAAGTAGATACCAACATTTGAGGTAAACATGATGTTTCCATCTTCAGGGCTTAAATGGTGGTACCTACCTGCAAGTCCACATAACATCACAAAATGGAAGAACGATAACATCTTCAACAGTGGCGACAACCCCAGATCTCATGTCTATAACTGTTTATCACTGATCATCTGCGAATTAAACCCTTTTATGGATAATTCTCTCTTCACATATTTTTTTACTTACAAAGCATTTTTTACATAATGCTTTTACCATGTAAATGGAGAAACTACTGCAACTGATGTGAACTTTACACACAAATATGTTACATAAGATTTGATTCCTGCACAGTTAATACGTAAAATATGCGCTTCATTTAATGTATCCTAATTTTCATTAAGAAAGAATTACCAAATAAGCAATAATTTGCTCAAACAAGTGCTCAAAATGGGCTACGAAGAAGTACGTCAGTAGAAAATGTTACAAAATCTGTGAATAAGTGCCTTGTAGAATGTATTAACTTCAATCACATGCTATACAGAAATTTTGTTGTGCTTGCATCAACCCACAAGCCACAATCTACACCACTGCTACCCCATTTTGAACACAGGCTTGTAACATTGTGCGCTGTCTTTACGTTGCTTCACAGATAGTTTGAAGAAAAGTGAACACAATTTTCACATACCTTTTCATTTCATATTATTCTGGTGTCACAGCCTCTAACAATAAATAAATGTCCAATAATTGTACATATAAAACTAGATACAGAAGCTTTTGGACACAAAAGTGGCAATAGAATATAGAACATAATTACGTTTGAGACGTAATATTGAGTGTATAAACGCGTAAGTCGCTCTTAATATGGTTCTACATCTTTTGTTGCTAACATAATGCAAAGTCCTGTTTGTTCCAGATTGACAGTTGCTTTGGCACACATATCAGTTTAAATCAACACATTTATCTGTGATACTGGAAGTTGGAGAATGTGATAGACTTGGTGCACTGAAATATACCTCCTTTCTTTCCTTATATGCAAATACATCTTACATCTCTGACTTTCGTCCAACAGAACACTTCGCCATTCGCAAATAGTACAGTAGACATGCAATTTGATAAGCAGTGTGCATTTTAAGAGAACTATGACAACAATTTTCCAATGAATATAATACACTTGTGACTACAAATTAAAATACAAATTAGAATCTTATAAATTTTATTCAGCGCACATAATTCTAAAATTAACTTCTCCCATAATAGTGGTCTGACATTCAAGTTTTTGTTCATATATGCTCGGTGCAGCTTTCACAAGGGGTGGGGGACACATCTCATCTGAATTCAATCTCACCCCTGACTGTATTTTTTTTGCCAACACTCATTACAAGATTCTTATTTCGTCTCCTGATAGTAGTGGGCGTCAATGACGTCATGCTATGTAGGGTATGGGACAAGACTGCATCGTCACATGATACACCTTTTCCAACATATATGACCTGAATGAAAAGTTAGAAGTCTCTAAATTGCACTTTAATTTGTAGTCCCCTGTTGAAGCATAAACTTTATTTACTGCTCCTCGATTTATTATGAAACTTGTATTCTCATATTTAAACAGGTTTAATGTTTAAGATATAATAGTATGAACAATATAGTACTTTAAAAATTTTCTACTTTGATCTTGATTTAGATCACTAATAATGCCAAAGGAAGATAAGAAATCTTCTTCTTCTATGGCTCTCCGGTCCGTATTCGGTCCATGGCCTCCTCAATTCTCCTCTTCCATTCTGTCCTCTGTTAGGTCAGTCTGTCCGAGGCTTTGACTGAGGTTTCGAAACATCTTCCTTTTTACGGTGCAAGGTAAAAAGGAAGATGTTTCAAAACATTGTTTGCTTAATTTTCACAATATTATATTTGAGCACTTGTTATGTGAACATGAATCAATACACAAAATTAAAAGGCGTGAACATGTCCTGTGTAAGAACGTGACCGTCTTCTGGGAGGTACTGATGTATAGTGTGGTAAAAGTTTACCAACATTTCAGAGATACTTGCTGCCTCCTCCTAGCTGATGATGGACGCTGCAGACGCCTCTGAAATGTCAATAAACTTCTTTCAGACCACATGGTACAACATCCCAGGAGACAGCCATCTTCAGTCTGTAAATTTGTTGTTTACTTTGGCTTGTGGCACTGCATGGTCTTGTATGATAGCATAAAACCCAAAAAGCTGCAATCCACAATAAGATGTTAGTGGAAAAAGTCAAAATAATCAAGGAAGTAGATACAAGGGGGAATACTATGACAGACTACTGAAACATGGAATTGCACAGTAAACACTGTCAGCATGCCTAAAAATTTGGAATGCATTTGAAACATGCTACAGAAAATACAAAAAATTGCTAAATGGAAATGTCTGTAGTACTATGAAGATACATATTATACCTTAATATGACAGTCTGTTCAGGTTTAGAGCATTCTAGTTTTTCTGTACATTTTTTTAAACAAAACTGCACACTGCATATCAACAAAAGAGAGAGACTCAGTTCAAAGGACGTTCAAGGTTCTACTGCATCCTCTTTAGATATATGCTTCAGTATTAATTCTTTGCAATTTCAACTGTGTACTACATCCTCTTAACATTTGGTTTCGGTTACTGTCATGCATTTTTTATTGCTTGTAAATTCATTGGTGAGTTTGCGTATATGCAAAAGAAGTCTGTCACTACCCATAATTTATATTTGTTGTGGCACATCTGATGCATGGTGTAATGTACTCCTAAGAACCTTAGATATCTGCAGTCAGAACAGTCATCACTGATGTCATTTAATATGAAACAGTTTTTGCAGTTATCAAAGAAAGAGAACGTTACAGTACAGTCCTGATTATCTCAAACAGGAGCAGAGGATGGGCAGATAATCACAAATGTCAGATAATATAGAAGACAGCTGAAAAATACTAGGGAAAATATCAACTCAATTTGAAACTTTATATTATTAAATTAGAAAGAAAATTTAGTATCTCAAAAAAATGTATTTAATATGATGTAATTTGTAAAAGAAAGAGTTTATTATTTTTTTTAATAAATTGGTAATGGGTGTTTGCCTATGAGTCTCATTTTACTTTTCTTTGTGGCAAGGTCTATAGCGGTCTCCTCCGTTTGTTGTTCAGCGTCAACGAGTATGGTCTCGATACAGTTAAATCCCTCCCTGTGACTCGCGGCATCGCAGATGAAACCGAATATAGGATAACTGAAGGTCAGATAATCAGGATTCTACTGTACTTAATTTGCTGCTCATAACAATTTTAGTGTTTTATGTTCCATAGGACAAATTTTGCTTTATCATTCTTTCACAAACATTCTGTATAATATAATGAAGTACTGAAACATTACTGATATTTAAACTATTCCAACTACATGGATAAAAAGAGCTCTTATGAACCAATTTGCACCATGCTGGTCTTCTGACAAACATTTTTGAGATGAATACATTTAATTCTTCTGAAGTCTTCACATCTGATATTATTCCAGGAGAAGGTATCCTTGTACCTGATTTGGCAGGCCTAATTGGTTTGTTTGTCCTGCCATGAGTCTCTCTGGTCCTACAGCCGATCTGATCGCTTTCCGACACATAAAAAGCAAGTCTTGTGGCTGAGTCCAGTACCGCATCATTGAGATTTTCAGTTGGTAGAATACAGGACCCAGTACTTTGTAACACTTTGCATGTCGAAACATCGTGCGCATCACGTGCGCATGCATACGTCCAGGATGTTCTCCCATTACTTGAGACAGTAATGCAAGAGTTCGCTCACAATGCTCATCGAGTTTCCTTCTTCTGATGACGGATCGGAGGAACCAAGTGAAAGCCGAACACTGCTCTGAATTACTAGCATTTTCACTTGTTGCATCATGAGTTCCTTGTGGCCACACTGATGCTCCACCATTGAGAAGGACTCTGGTAAGTTCTATACTTTCATCCATATAATGAACACTGTAGGTGAGAAGACTACGACCCTCACTGTTGGCCGTGTTCGGGTCACTACCAGCTTCAAGTAGGAGTTGACTAAGTTGGGCTGCTTGATCGAATGCCCCTTCTCTTAACAAACGACGTCCTGCTATCAAAAGTGGAGTGTTTCCTTCGGAGTCTGTCAAGGATAGCAAAAAGTGCCGTTCCTGACATGCTCCTGTCCGTCTCTCCTTGTGCACTGTTGATAGAAGTTTCACGGCTTCCAATACGCTTGACCAGTTACCCTGTAAGTCTCCTGGAAATTAAAATCACAAATGGATGTCAATTTCATTGCATACAGAAGTCTCAAATTTCACGAGCCACTGTGTTGCATCATGATTCTAAGAAATAACGAATAATATACAAATCCTTAATCTTCAACATATGGCGTTAACCTGTGTAGAATTGTAAAAAAACTGTCTTACATGACAATCAAATATTAATTAATAGTGCTATACAGCTACTGTGGCCGCGCGGTCTGAGGCGTGGGCCTTGTGCTGCTTGGTCACTGGGATCGTGGGTTCGAATCCCACTCGAGGCATGGATGTTTGTCCGCGTTTTTTTGTGTTGTGCTGGCCTGTGTCCAGGTAGAGGCCTTGCGACGGGCTGATCCCTCGTCCAAGGAGTCCTACCAACTGTCTAGATCAGAGCCAATGAAAAGTTGGGACCCGCAGTACTCAGGCACTTGAAGAACGGGTCGTATAAAATAAAATATACAGCTACTGCTAAGAATATGCTACATTAAATTAAAGATATTGGACTAGTGTAAGGAACTGTTCAGGCTTTGACTTGGGAAAAGTAAGAAAACTTGCCCTGGTGTTTTAACAGTATACAAAGATTGTTCTCTCAGTAGTTTATTGTTAAGTTGTAACAGTTGGTGCGATAACGACGTGATGCATAGATTTTTGTATAGTTGTAGTGATATTGTGTGTTTATCAATAAAATTTAATTATACTGAATTAAAAACCACCAATAAGTATTTTAATATGGGTTGTGTGACTTTTTGATAAGCCTGTATAATATACAGTTTGGGAAAATTTATGGATTTGTGGTCACGGGCATGATGGATCTGTGCACTGTACTGGAAAACATGGCAATTTGTTGAATGCAGTTTAAGGTTAAGTGTCATCAAACATGAAATGTGAGGATGATTTAATGGTGGTCAGGAAGAATATGGAGAAAGCCCTCACGTATTACTAAAAGGTACTGCCATCGTCAGTGAAGATGTCATATTAAATCTGATGTTTTTATTTGGGTAGACAGTGATTCAAATGTAGGTTAAGTATGATAAAACTACTGCTATACCCACCTGTGAGCAAGAGATGTAGGGATGCCTGACTGCTAGCAAAATATCTGCTAATGTCACAACCATTAGATGAACACAGTTTGTGGAGGAATGAATCGGAAGTCTGTAACCCACATGCCACATGGAGAGATGACACATTCCCACATTCACATTTCTGTGCAGCCAGAAGAAAATGTTTTTATTAAACATAAACATGTAAAATTAAATAAACTGATTGTATTTTGGCATAAATCTTTTGAGAATTCAAGAATAGAATGTTTCAGTTTTGAATAGGAAATGATTTTCAAATACCTGCAATTTATTACCTCACATTAACCTTATTATTATTTAAAATGAGTATAACGTTCTAAATTAAATGTTGTGTACAGTAATAATTTTGGCAAAATCTAATCTATATCTCTGAATCAAAGTTTTTTGTGCGTACTATCATGCACAAACTGCTGTCAAATATAATATTACCTCTAGATAATATTATTTTCATTGTATTACCTGTGGAGACTTCATGTTTGTCATGTCAGTATTTGATGTGATGAGATCTTCAACCATTGGAACATTCTCACATGACAAACATTCTTGTAATACTGAATTGCTACCTTTCTGATCTGGAAAGAAGCAGACAATGTCAAAATTACTAATTATTAGCAAAATTGTGCATATTTATTGTCTATTCCTGTGGTTCTATCTCCCTCCCAACCAGGCCAGGGTCACCCATAGCTCCCATCTGCTCATTTGCCCTTTTTCTCTCCGCCCTGATGATGGACGCAGTAAGCACCTCTGAATCGGCTCACTTTTTACAAAACCATACGGCCCATCCCTGAAGTGATCATCTACATCAGTGGTATTCAACCTGGGGTACGCGAAGACATCTTAGGGGGGGTACGTGAAATTTAAAAAAAATATTATTTTATGATAAACACTGAATAATCAGTAATTTAATTTATTTTAGATGTAGATTATATACTGTGTATAACTTGAATTAAATACCAACAACTTTGGGGGTACAAAGTTGAAGAGAAATTATATCTGGGGGTACGCAAACAAAAAAGGTTGAATACCACTGATCTACATCAGTTGTAATTCACATATATTCTGGAAGGACAATTATCCAGACATGTGGCAAGTTTGTAAAAACTAGCCATAACATTTTTCATTTTCATTTTTTAAAAACCTTATATAGAAATCAGTTTTTAAATATATTAGTCTAAAAATGGTAGTCCCTCTAGAATGGCTTTCCTCGGTCTTAATTCTGATGTTGAGAGAGACAACTTTCTGATCTTTAATGTTACTGTGTTTATAAGCTTCAGTGCTTAATGGAGTGTACATGTAGTATGATGGCTTAGAAGTTTCAGAAAGGTAATTCACTCAAAAATTAATTTAATCTATAAATACATATCTGTGTTAGTTATGAGTAGACTTGGATCTATAGAAAATGGTCAACCTTTTTGCAGACTTTTTCTGACACTGACTGAGATATGAAACTAGGTGTTTGATTTTAATTTCCTGTATTCATGATTAATATGAGTGAAAGATACAGTATGTGAAACAGGTAAATGTATGTAAAAATTTATGAGGGAGTTCTGAAAGTCATTAGCAGAAAGAACCGACTTCCATGATATGTATATGACACTTACCTCTAAATATCTGACAATAGTCCATCCGTTGATCCTTGTTCTGAGCTACATCAATCCATTTCTGATTCCTGCACCCTGTATCTTTTTATAATCGATTTTAATATTATACCCTACCCATGCTTCGAATTTCCGCCCGGTCTGTTCTCTTCAGGTTTACCAACTAACACTTTTTGCATTTCTCATAGCTTTTGTGCATGTTACATGCCCTACCAATAACATGTCCCTTGATTTTATCATACTAATAATATTTGGTATATGAATTTACATATCAATCAACACAACCGTTGTGTCGACATCCTTTAGATTCGGGACACTTTTGATGTCCGTTGTGAAATAATTTTATGTATTGGCAATTTTTACTACTGATACTTAACGCCAATGAGACTACTAATGTTAAAAATCGTTAATTAGTAGTATGATATTATGACTCTATTACCTATATTATTTTTTTTCAAAAATAAATTAAAGTTGATTCTAAATAACTAAACAGTGAGAGAAATTTTGGTAAAAAGTGTATATGTTACTAGTTGGCAACACTGTCTACAGCCGTACTCTTGAGTTCGTGGTTGACATTTAAGTCGGATGTATGTATTGCATAAAATATTTTCGTGTGCTAATATTTTAAGTGCTATTACATTTGTTTAAGTGCATTATTTAGTGTGGTCTCCTATGGATTGTCAACATTTCTGGAACTAATCCAAGGTAAGAAAACACTGCAGAATATATTTACAGTTCTCTCCAAATAAGGCCTTATGAAAGTTTTATGACCGAATGATCTGGATCTGCATGGCGAGACGTATGTGCTGTATCAAAACATGAACCAAGGTGGGTTTAGAATGTCAAACTCGGGTGAGTTTGACTCGTTTTGTAATTTTTAAGTCCTTAGAGAGTAGGCTAAGGAAAATCATGGGAACGCAGTCCAGCCTCTGCAGGTTTAGAAGCTTCTCGAATGAGCTCTTTCTACACTCGCGGCACACTAAATATTGAGTCATGGCGGCACACCAACCCCATTTTGTATATTGAGTGGGGGTGGGGTTACATGGTTTATGGCATTGACTGGCCGCGACAACTTCTTACAGATAGACCCCAACTTAAAAATGTTTTATTTGATGTTCATAATTATTCCTGTTTATTATTATGTCATTTACTTTAGATATATTATTTGAAATAAATTAAAATATATTTATACATATAGTTTAATTCAAAATTTATTAAGTGTGTAATCATTAAAATCAGTTTCTCGCGACCCAAAGATCCCACTGCATATGGAATATGACCGTCATTTACAAATAGTGGATGTGAGCAGAGAAAGTATTAGATTTAAAATAAAACTAGACAAATAATTATCTAATTATGAAAATCTATAATTCATTTAATAGGTTTGTGGTTCCCATTTACTGTAGCCTCTCTTTACAGAAAAATACATAGGTTAGCAATAAAAGTAAAGTGGATGTTTTTATGATTTGCTGCAAAGTGGTTGTGTTACTTTCCAATTCAGTTCAGGAGATCTTGTCTGCATGGCCATAATGAAGAAAATTAAAACTGAGAGAGAGCAGAAAACAAGACAAACAATTATTTATCTCATTGTGGTAATAATTATAAAATGAGGTTAAAATTTCGTGGCACATGATGGCCTCCGCGGTACACCGGTGTGCCGCGGACCACTGGTTGCGCATCACTGCGTAAGGTGAATCCGTGTTGGAGGAGTCTAATGGGTACGCGTCCGTGGAAGGTCAAAGTAAAAAAAAATCAAATATTCCGTCACTGTATTTATTTATGAAAAACTGTAATTATAATTAATTTCGAGTAAAAGTCAAGCATTAAAGTAAAATATCAACGGGTTGATAGGCCAAGTCCTGCTGCTCTTATACCACATAATCACTTTTACATTTGCGTTTTTATTCCGTGCTGTCCATGCTTATTTAATTCTGCCCACAAATCGAAAACTTTTTTTTTTCCAGAGGCAGAACTTTGTGGCTCTGGAGATGGGCTTTTTCCAGGAGAATGCTATCAAAATGTTTTAAGGGGTTCAGTTTCATATTTTTAAATTGACCTGATCTGAGAAAGAAATTAGACAAGTCATCTATATTGTGTGTGTGTATCTGTTAATACTACAATATATTCTTTATGAACGTGTTACGCATGACATCTAGTTCTGAATAACGACACTGGCTCGCAGAATATTCTATTTACAAGTGCTGCTACCTTTAGAGCGAAGGTGCATATCGAATCAAAGAGTTGGAGAGGCAGTGGCTAATGAAGGCAGGAAAGAAATCATTCCTCGTCGAGTTTCAAAGTGTTTTCCATTAGTACTTTATAATGGCCTTCCTGTAACGTACATTTATTTTCTGTTCTGTGACTTGTTTAATATGTAACGTATGTGACTGCTGTGTTTGGTGCCGCTATGTGATATAATTGGACGCGTTACTAACACTCGACTTCTTTGAACATAATTTATACAGATATGGTTTTGTAAGTCACTGCCCCCTACTGGATGAACCGATGTATATCCATACTGTACTTCGTTAATCTCTGTTGTGTTTAGGGAAATATAAAAACTGGTCCAGTGACCGATGTCAGTTCATTGGCCCACACTTGGGGCCTCAATCGATATCAACTCTCGAACGAATTTTGTGTGTAGCGTCTTCCGTATAACCTCGCACACTGCTCCTGCAGTCGATTGCCGTGTCTCTTCCGCATCGCGGTCTTGACAAAAATAGGTGGGCGCTGTTACACGCCGGAGTCCAAGGATGTTTAATTCTTGCTTTGGGCAAGAGGCTTATGAACACCATGAAGTAAGTTAAGATATTAACCGCGTGGTAAACAGTCGTGACTTATTTTCGGATACAGTACACCGCGGATTCGATCATACGCATTGTCGAAGGAACTCTGTAGTCAAGGTCATACATCACCTGATGATGCACGCGTCACGTGTTCCTCGTAGGACGAGTCTGCGCACAGGGAATTTTGATTCACACTGTCCCTACAGTGAGTAACTCCATCTGTCGCCATTACCCCTCCAGCGACATGGAAAACGAAAGTATAATGGCACCATACCTTGGTGAAGATGGTGATGATGATGATGTTGGTGGTGGTGATAATGATGATGGGGCAGTCTGTTACAGCAGACTGCCCGCTGCTGGTGAATGTCTTGCTGAATACATCTCAGTGGGGTCATAGGTCGCAACTCCAGTTCCAGACGTAAGAGCTGTAGGTTACTGAACATGTCGCTTCCATCCCTGTAAACAAGAAAGTCTTCTTTAATTTATACTGAAGCAGCTTACGAGTTCGCATTCGTGTACAGCTTTTAAAGTCCGGTGGCCTCTGTACATACCACATGCTTTAAAAATTAGTAACTATGTATTTATTAATATGTTTCGTATGATCCACAGAATAAACAGCGGATTATTACTAACAAACTGATTTCTGTTAGTGAGACGCGCGGAATTTTCTGAATTTGCTCGTTTTTTTTGTGACAGTTTCGTCTTATGTGTGAGATTTGAGGTTCCCGCTGCTATGATTATGGTGATGATGTCCTGGGTTGGTACGCCGTGCTGAAGATCGAGACAGTATTTGTCTCTCAAACATTGGTATCTACATGTAAGTCCACACAGCGTTACAACCCGGATCAGTGTCAATGCCTTGTGTTTCTCCATTTATTTAACTGCTTTTTTTGTATTATGCTTTACAAGTTGCGATGGAGACGATATATTTCTTACATTATTTAATGCAAGATTGCTTTCGTATTTAAAAAAAATGATTTAATATTGCCCTTTTGTGTTGGGTAAAAGTTTCAGATTTTTAGATGTAGTCTCAACGTTATTATTAATTTAAAAAGAATTGTACAAAGGTCATAATTTCAAAGTTATTGCAATTTTTGGACGTGTGGCGTTTTCTTTGAGGTACGAAATGAATTCTTAGATGTTATTTGGGCGAGTTTCATTTGTGGATACGTGTGAAGACCAGCGTATTGTGGCGGCAGTAAAGAGTGTGTGCATGTGTCTAAGGTTATCGTACGCACGGATGTCCAGGCAAAGCTGTTCTTTTCTCGCTGTGTGTTGCTTGCCTGCCATTGATGAAGGCGTTGACCCGACATTGGCTGAATATGACCTCACGTTACACCACTGATACAATATACAGTAATAAAGAAACAACTGTTTTGAGGTTTTAAACACTATAGTCTAATGCAAGATCTTGTAAAACAGAAATACGTTCTGTTCGTTTGGCAATTTCAGAGTTGTTGCTAATGATATCTATGGAATGGGAGGGCCATTCTTTAGAAGCCAATAGTCGCTTAGCTAGTCGGAAAATTCCCCGCGTTTTAAGAAACCAGAGGATTTATTACCTTACTCGTAAGTCTGCCACCGATGCCTGCACTAAGCCAGATGAATCCAATCCCCCATCTTCCACATTTTTATTTATTTATTTATGTAAACAGAAGGAAACACTGTGCGTATATATATTTATTTTTGAAATTTCTTTTTCAAAACGGTAATCTGCGAGATTTGTAAATCGGGACTTTCCTACGGGCGGGTTTTCACCTTTTATCTTTCTCTTTTCAAAATTAAAACGGGCCAAAACTTATTTTTGCGTATACAAAACGTTTTTTAAACTGCGGTATGGGAATAATGTGAAGACGGTTTAGTACGTTGCGTGTCTCCTTGAAGCCCGGACAGACCAATTCAAATCGTCCGCTTCTTACGACGTGTACGTAAGCCTCTAAAATTTCTTAATCCACCTTCACATCCGAGAAACAGGTGGCATTACGTCT